TACTAGTTCTGTTTATTTCTGCTGGTAGCAGCTGCCTAACTGGTCTTCCTGCCTTTGTTTTCCTCTCCTTTCAGGTCATCAGTTCTAACATAGTCCCCTCCTTAGAATTCTTCTTAGCGACTGCCTATTGGTTATAAGGGGAAAGTATATCCAAATCTTTCCTGAGCTGGCCCCTGCCTCTCTCCCGAGCCTCATCTCTCTGTAACCCTTCACCCTCACCACTTGTAGCTTCCTTAAATTATCCTAGAATCCTTCTAGAGTCTTGGTATCTTCCATTTGTATGGTAAAAACTTTCCACAAGGTATGACCTTCCACCCAAGCTCTTACTCGTTCTTCAAAGCCCAGCAAATAACACATCCAAGAGAATGAAATGCTTAAGACTGGCTTAAGCACTTCCTCCATTGATCTTCCAGGGGCCTCATTGATACCTTTTTCAAGCAAGATATGATAAGGTTGTCACTTTTTTTTTTTTAATTTGTCTGTCATTCTCACTAAATTCTGAGCCCCTGAAAGCCAGGGACTGCCTTCACTTCGTCATTAGTTTAGTGGCTAAGTTCTAGGCTCAGCAGCTAGCACATAGAAGGTGCTCTGTAAACATTTGTTGACGGGATACATTGGTCAGATGTAAGAATTCGCAGAAACTATACTCTGGATTTTTTCTTTCTTATCTCTTCCTAGATAGACCAGAGTTATTTTAACCAAAGGGAGATTTGCTTTGCTGGTTACCGTTGAGAGGCTGGGCTTCGTGCTCTTACTTGTGGAGGAGGTGTTGATGAGTTAGGTGCAGACCTTAATCAAGGCCACTGAGAACTCAGTGGCTCACCAACTGGCGCACACCCACTGGAGCAGCAGCCTCACGCAGGGTGAGCTGGGATAAGGAAGCATTGAAGCTGACATCAGGTCACCTGTTTTTGCATCTCTCTTTCATCACAGTCTCCTAGGTCAGGTTGAGACTGACTTCTCCCTGTGCGTATGAGAATAAGAGTCATCAGACCTGTGGTCCACTTGGTCCTCTACCACCTGCTCCAACGCTGCCGTTTGAATGTTGCCCTGGGAGTGTAATAAGGTCTTATTTACTCACTCACGGTGTGGATGTTTCCTGGTATCCTCCATAAGTTTTTGAGCCTCATTGAGATCCTCCCCATACCCAGCATACTTTTTGCGATAGCTCAGTCTGTATTCTAACACTGCCAACAAACATGTGTTGAAGGCATCTCCTGGGTCAGACACATGGGACAGGAAGGTCTAGGACCTGTTCACCCCAGCAGCTGGTGGGCCCACATTTTTAGAAAGATGCAGTGGTATATCAGGCGCAGTGAGGGAAGAAATGTAATTGTTAAAAGAAGAGACTATTTTTTAGCTGGAAACTTTTGGGGAACCCTGGTGGTAGATACAAGATGGGCCTGGGCAACCTTGGAGACTAATGGCGTTAAGAAAACCAAGCCTAATTAGAAGGTCAGATTTGCGGAGGAGGGCAGACAAGAGCATCCCTGTGGTCCAAAGCCAATAAACATTGTCTGGATTTTTTTTAAGTTTTAATGAACCCATTGGTACCAATCAAACCCATACTTTTAAAAACTCTATAGGCTTTCTGTATTTTAATTCATTAACCCTTGAAATACTAGGTAAAAGGCACATTAAGATGAAACGGATTGATTCTGGCCTACTTAATAAGTCACGAGCAGAGTTTGGAGCAGAGCTGTGCTGGGCCGGGTGTGAGCAGCCAGAGGTGTTACTGCTCCCACAGGCTTAAGAGGAGGTAGGAGGTGTGAGTGGGGTGTGGTGAGCACAGGTCTTGATCAGGGTCCAGCCAGCACAGTGGAGGCTCTCTGGAGGGCTTTTGCCCTCAATGATTTCTGTTGCTTCCATAACCGGCGTGAAGCCTGGACTAAACATGGTCCTGGCCCAGCAGCGAATCTCAGGGCCTTGGGCACGGGGCGATCTATGATGCAAAGCTGGCTCAATTTCTTTCCAAAGTGGCAAATTCACTCCTCAGCTGTTGGTGGCAAATTTCACCATGAAAACATTCTGAGTGCAAAAGTTGTTTCCTCCTATCAGACTGAAAAGGAAACTGAAGATGGGGAAATAACCTTGACAAAAAATTCAGCCAGTTCCAGTTCTAGCCTGAAATGCCTGGTCTCTGACGGCCTTAGTGGTTGGGAAGAATTACGGATGACTTGTACTTGCTTCTTTGGGATAGAATAGAGGTAGTTTACAGTCTCTGTAGGGCTCAAACTTCTTGTGAGAACAGCCTTGGATTTTCTGTTTTAATTTATACAAAAGGAAACCAAGCTTTCTTGCAAATAGCAAAGTATGGCTATTTTTGCCCCTTTGCCTCACAGTGTTTGCAGAAGCTTTGCAAATGGCTTATGAATCATAAATTTAAGAGGCTAGTCCAGCCCCATTCAGACCACACGCTGGTCACTCTTCCATGACATTTGATGTAGGAGCTGATATTAACATGTGTCCAGGAAGAAAAGCATCAGGGAGAATGTGATGCTATGCAAAGAAGGGTGTCTCCTGCCCAGGTCCCTGCTGGGCAGGCAGAACCTTCTGCGCCGTTGCTAGGATCCGTGCATACTGGCAGCCAAGTGCTCTCTGAGCCTTTTCTGTTTTCTTTATTTCTCATACTGCCTTTGGGCTGTGTAATCACATTTGTGTATTTTTCTATCCTTCTCTTCCCATCTTCCTCTTGACTCTGGGATTTCCCGCTTAAAACTTCATGGACACTGGGGTCTTGCTCTGCCTGCTTCTGTCCCCTGGAACTAGAACCCAGTGCTTGGGAACTGAGGCACCAGGTGCAGCTCCCACATAGGAGCCAACCCCATCAACCCCGGGCTCATGTTGCAAGAGTAAGCAGAGGAGCCCCTGTCACAGGCTGGCACGGCTTTGTTTCTACCTGTGGTAGCACTTCCTTACTTTTATTGGAGGACACAGTTACTGGACTGCTAACTTTTCCCCCAGTTTGGAACTGGTGTCTCTCACTTGACAGCTTTGTGGATTATCCCTCACGACCCAGAATGCTGCCCACTGCTGAAACAACTTAGTATTTGGAAGAGAAGGTGGATTGTTTATAATAAGAGATTGATCAAAGGGTAACTACAGAGGAAATCAGCCACAAACCGTAACCACAGAATACATTGTAAATTCATATGGAAGTGGCCCACTAGTGTGGAATTTATCTACTGACACCTTCACAAATTGGATAAATGTTATGACAGAGTGCACTCTGCTTCAGAGTGCCCCCCTGTCTAGGAGGAAAGATTCCCAGTGGTTATGGAAGTGGCCCACTAGTGTGGAATTTATCTACTGACACCTTTACAAATTGGATAAATATTATGACAGAGTGCACTCTGCTTCAGAGTGCCCCCCTGTCTAGGAGGAAAGATTCCCAGTGGAATAGATATGTCAGACCAGTTCCTAGACCAGCAATGGAGTGGATTTTGCTCTCAGACTGAAAAGCACCACCTAAAACCATTTCTCTCTTTCTGGGGATGATTTTTCCCATAGGGCACGGCTGAACACTGTGTGGCTCTAGAGAGGCAAGAGATCTGGTTTCTAGGGCCCAAGAGGGCATTAATCCTAATCTGGACTCAGATCTTGTGCCAGCCGGGGTGGACCCTGAGCAAATGCAGCTCTCTTCTGCTGCATCTATCACTCAGGTTATCCCTGAGAGAGATCAGCTCTTGTATCCCAGAGATGCCAAGGGCTGGGCCTAGTGGGTGGTTGTCCCAGAGACTCCTCCCTGTGGACCCATCTCTTTCTCCCCCAGCAGCAAACTGCAGAAGCAGCAGGCGTATCCTGCCTGCTCCTTTTCCCAGTTCATCTGCTCTACTGTAGGTCTCAGCCTAGCACAGTACATGAATCCAGAAATACCTGAGGGGTGGTTGCTTGACCTGTACTGTGGCCATGTGTCGTCACAGTCACTATTAAGTGTTCACCACTGCAGAGCCCAGGATGAAGGGGTACCAGAAAGCTGGGATGTGGACCTTATCTTTAAAGGGCCTTCAGTCCAAAATGGAGAAGAAAGAACACACAAAGACCATACAGCAAAACTTAAATAGCAGAATACGAACACATATAAAATAATATAGGACAAACAGGTGGCATGAACTCATCATAAAGAAATAGCAGAACTGTTTTCTGAAGAGGATAGATTTAGAGCAGTGTTGCTCAGAGTGCCAGCACTCCTGAGGAGCTTGTGAGAAATGTAAATTCTCAGGCCCCACCCCAGACCCCTGAATCAAAAACACTAGGGGAGGGGCCCAGCGATCTGTGTCCTAACCAGCCTTCCAAGTTATTCCAGTGCATGCTGAAGTTTGAGAAACACTGATTTAGGTGGAGGATTGGCCACATGCCTTCCTTTTTTAGCAGCTGCTGCCAGCAGCTGTATTTATTATTTTCTGTCTGCTAGGTACTGTTCTAAGTCCTTCACCTGCATTACCTCCTCTGCCTCTCACAAACCTTAAAAAGCAGGTTGTGTTCTCATCTCCATATACCAACCAGGTCATAGCAACAGATGCAGCCTGGGAGAAGATTTGCTCTCGTCTCAGCTATGCAGCCAGTACTGTGATTCTACGCCAGTCATGTAACCACACTCTGCCTCAGTTTCCTTATGTGTTAAATGGGATAATAAGGCCTGTCCTAGCTATCTCACAAGATTATTATAAGGATGATATGATTAAATAACTATACATATCCTTTCAAAAGTTAAAAGGGTTAAAAAGAAAAGCTGTTTAAAGAAATGTGGTGTTTTTGATATTGGCACCCCTGATATACCCCTTACTAAGAGGCTTTCCTAATGTCCTGGAGCAGGATTGTATTGGATTCTTTTTGTGCCATGGGATCTCGCAATATAAAACAGGAGAGTCTTTGGAAAGGGGGAGAGAGGGAACCCATAGTGTGGGGAATGCAGTGACCAAGCAGGGGTCAAGGAAGAGAGGCACGTTCGAAAACAAGACTAGAAGGGGGTCTGTTTTGCGGGGAGGTCTTTCAGAAGAATGGTGCCTCCAGCCTGGAGCCCCCTCAGTATGCCCCGTACAACTCAGGGCCTGACAGAAGAAGGCATTGCTCTCTCTCCAGAACTCTACTATGACCGTGGGAACCACCATGAGTTTGTGTCCCTGGTGAAGGACTTGGCCCGGCCCGGAGAAATCACGCAGTCGCAGGCCTTCGACTTTGAATTTACCCACGTGGAGAAGCCATATGAATCCTACACAGGGCAGAATGTAAAGCTGCGGTAAGTCATGCCTGCTCCTTCCCCACCATGCCCCAGAAGCTGCCCATGTAAACAAGGACCTGAAGCTGTCCGCATTTCTAAGGATCTTTATGTGAGAAGGAAAAGGATTGTGAGCAGGAAAGCCCCCTGGTTTGTAGCATTTGTCAGTTTCTGTAGTGTAAATATTCCCACCATGCCCAATTCACAGCTACCCACCTGATGTTCCTGAATGCAGAGTGGGGAGAGATGGGCAGCAGCCACCTGTACACAGCATTACCATCATACACAAACACTAGATATGCAAAACCTATCGTAAAGTGTAGGAAAATATTTAGGAAGAGATGAGTTTTAATAATGTATTACCTTTGTTTTTAATATCATTCCTTTAATTGTAAGTTGACATAGTTGAACTTTAAATAATTGCTGTGTTTAACAACCAGTTCATACAATTCCTGAAAATTCAACAATCAGCTTTCATGACAAAGTTGGCCCCAAGACTCCCCTGGCTGGGCGTCAGAAGACACTGACCCTCTGTCCACCTCTGCCACACAACAACAATGTGACTTGAGCTCTGTAATTCAGCTTTCTCACTTAAAAAATGGGTAATATATTTGATTCTAATTCTAGATCTGTCCTGTCCATCTTTTAGGAGTGATAAGGAAATAAAATGTAACATAGTGTGACACATTCTTAAACAATCAGTGACTATATTATAAGTACATGGGATTGTTTTTACTGTTCCAATCTTGAAAACTCTGAGGATAGTCACTGATGCCAGGGCTTCTGGGGTGAAAAAAAAATCCATACCAGCTATAGACTGTTAGGTGTAACCCCAAGATTATGTGATGACACTGGGATAAATCAAACTCTTCTGTCACTTTGGACACCTGATTCCAGCTCTCAGTACTATCTCAAAAGATCAGCTCATTTTATCACCTGAAGGCCTGGGTTTAAGATGGTGCAGGCTAGTGCAAGACCTCTACTTCCCCTTCTTTCTCCTGGCCTCCCCTCTTCCATCTGAAGAGTGTTTGTAGGCTATTCTTTTTAAGTCTTTGCAGAGAAGTCTAAGCACTGATGTTGTCCCCAGTAAAGACAGTGTTTCATAATTGCACCCAGAGAAGGCAGCAACAGTGAGGATTATCTAGTTGTCACTTAAACTTGGCTCTGTACTTGGCTCTGAGATTTATTATTTAATCTTTTTTTATTTTGCAGTGGATTTGTCTTGTGTTTCTGTGTCAGAAAGAAAGGTATTGAAAGCAACATGGTAGTTCTTCAAAAATTTAACATAGAATTACCGTATGATTCAGCAATCCCACTTCTGGTGATATATCCAAAAGAATTTGAAACACGGTCTCAAACATTTGTACACCCACATTCATAGCAGCATTATTCAGAATAAGCAAAAGGTGGAAGCAGCCCAACTGTCCATCAGTGGATGAATGGATGAGCAAAATGTGGTGTGCATACATAGTGGACTATTACGCAGCCTTAAAAAGCAACAATGTGGATGAGCCTTAAGGACATTATGATGAGTGAAATAAGCCAGTCACAAAAGGAGAATGATTCCACTTTTATGAGATCTTTGGAACAGTCAAATTCATAGAGACAGAAGTAGAATGGTGGTTGCTAGAAGCTAGGGGGAGGGAAATGGGGATTTGATGCTTAATGGGGACAGAGCTTCGGTTTGAGAAGATGGAAAAGTTCTGGGGATGGATAGTGGTGACGGTTGCACAACAGTGTGACTGTATTCAGTGCCATTGAATTATGCACTTAAAAATGGTTAAAATGGTAAATTTTATGTTATGTGTATTTTGCCACAATAAAAGAAAAGAGGGCTGGTCAGTTAGCTCAGTTGGTTAGACTGTGGCCTTATTAACACCAAGGTTTGGAACCCCATACCAGCCAGCCAGCCAAAAACTAAAAAAAGAAAAGAAAGAAAAAGATATTACTATCCAAATTAGATGAAGACTTTAAGGATTCATGTTGAGGAATAGAGGAGGTAAAGATGGGAAAATCAGTTGAGGACAGTTTATAGAAGATGTAAATTCCAGATTAAGAGCTTGTATCTTATTGCACAAGCAGAGGGAAAATATGGGAAGATTGTCTCGAACTTTTTTTCCTTTGTTTTTAGGGAGGGGACTGGGTCTATTGGAAGATTAAAGTCAATATGTAGCATTTGATGGATGGGAGAAGTGTGGGAGACAACTGTCAGAGGGCTATCATGAGGTCCTGAGTTTACGATGGTAGACACAGCAGTGGAGATGGGGACAGGGATGTCAGGAGGAAGAAGTGATTTGGCGATAAGATGGTTCATCCAATCGTAGAGAGAAGTTTGAAGTACTGGCAAAATATAGATGTCTAAAAGTTCACCAGATAATTAAAATGCAAGCCTGGTGCTGAGGATAGATGAGAAACTTAGGAATGCAGTCGGGAATCATCTGCAGAGAGGTGACAGCTGATACATGTTTCAAGGAGGGGAGAGAAGGGCCAGGACCTATGGTGGGGGAGGGGTAATACCACCTGTTGAATCGTGGGATGAGTGATTCAAGGAGGAGGCAATGCAGAAGAAAGCCCACTAGATTTGCCAACTAGGAAGCCACGTGTTACCTTCACGGGAGCAGTTTCTGTTGGGTGATGGAGACAGAAGCCAGGGGCTGGGAGGAGTGGCTGGTGAAGAAGCCGCAGCAGTCAGCACAGGACCTGTCTTGTGACAGCTGTCTCTGAAGAAAGAAAGGGGAATGTGTGGTAGGTCCGTAGTGGAAGGCCTGGAGAGGGTTTTTGGGATTTGATGAGTTTGGCACTTTTTACAAGCTCAAAGAAGCCTTTAGCTGGAGATAGATTCAATATCTTGGGGAAATTGGAAAAGTAGAAGGAGTAAGATGCAGGACCAAGGCTCCCATATTAGAATCACTGGGGGAAGCTTTTAAAACCTTGAGGCCTGTGTCCCTCTCCAGGGCAGTTAAATACCAGATGTGCCTAGGCCTCAGGATTTTTAAAGCCTCTTGTCTAGGTGATTCTAATGTGCATCCGGGTTGAGAGTCCTGTCAGATGGAGGAGAGGGAGAAGTCTTGAGAGAGAGGTGCTGCTGGAAGGAGGGGCGAAGATGCAGACGTGTGGTTAGGCCTACGTAAGAAACAACACGAAGCAGAGAAGGGAGAGAATCCTGAGTCTTGACTTGGAAAGCCTTCATGCTCTTAGTAGAGCAAGAAGCAATGTCTTCCACAGACCGGGGTGGGAGGTTTGGGCATCTGACCAATTAGGAAAGGTTTAGAGACAGATGTCCTGGGCAGTGTGATCGATATTACTGAGATGTGTAAAAAGGATTGCCAAGGAGCAGTCATCTGCTGTGCAGAGGATGGTAGCATAAATGTGTAGTTGATCTGGTTCGCACGTCTTTACATAACTTTCTCTAGTAATGCTTAGCGGATGGTGGGGATTGCCTAAGTTTTATGTAGAAGAAAATATAATTAGCAGAGTGTTTTCTCCCTCATGGAGTATTAGCCCAGTGTTAAGTCAAGGGGACAGGGATGCTTGGAAAGGTAGCGCTAAATGTTGGGTCTGTCTTCTTTCTAACTTGTCCCCCACCACAGCAGTCCCCTCCCCAGGGATTCTAGGTTCAGCAAGAGACTTCTTTGTTGTACAGACAAACCAGGTTCTCTCTGCCTGTGTTGCTTTACCTGTAAGGTTTGCTCTTCCAGGAATGCCCTTTCTCTCTCTCTCCACAGCGCTGGATTGTGGTATCTGAATTAGCAGTTTCCCAATGTTCTGATTTTCTGTTTCTTTGCCCATCTTCCCTAGTGGACTGTGAGCTTCCCATGAGTCTGGGTCTCATTCATCTTGTGCTTAGCACAGGGCATAGCTCAGTAAATGTACTGAATGAATAGCTGACTTTATTTCTCCATTCCCTATTCCTCTCTTTTAACCATGAGGGATATGAAAAATGTTTATTGGTTGAGTATTATTAAATGAACAGGCATGCAGATATAAGAGTATGAGACAGATCCCCGTGCCCCAAAGCCAGGGGTTAGTTGAAGAAATAAAACCTGTACACAGGGCTGGGTGATTAGCTCAGTTGGTTAGAGCATGGTGCTGGTAACACCAAGGCCCAGGGTTTGATCCCTGTACTGGGAAGCCACCAAGAAAAACAAAAAACTGTACACAAATAGATGGTAGATAGTAGTAAGGGCCACAAAAGGCCTAAGAGTAATGTGTTATTGGGGTACAGAGTAGAAAAATCACTTTTTCTTAGAGCGGAGTTCTTAACCCAGGGACACAGGTCCAAAAAGGGATTTGAGGGAAGGGTCTTTGAACTCCCTATAACTGCAGTTACAAAATTTTATGTATAGATGCATGTGTACATTTTTTTTCTGGGAGGAAGGTCTGTAAATTCTCAGAGGGATACAGAAGACCAGAAGGTTGAGAACCACCATAGGGGGTTCTCTCACATGGGCTGATGTGGTGCCTGTGTCCTAGCAGCTCCATCTGGGCGTGTCCATTCATGGCAGCTCCATCTCCACAGCTATTTCCTCCGAGCCACCGTCAGCCGCCGCCTCAGTGATGTTGTCAAGGAGATGGATGTTGTAGTTCACACACTCAGCACATACCCGGAGCTGAACTCTTCCATCAAGATGGAGGTTGGGATCGAGGACTGTCTGCACATTGAGTTTGAGTATAATAAATCCAAGTAAGTGTCCCGGGCCACAGGGTCATGGAATAATTATTCAAACTGATGGAGCCCCGTGACTCGATGGCTGCGTGGGAGGAAGGCCACAGAATAATACAGTGTTAGGCTAGCTACAGGCAGATTGACTAGGAAATAAAAGCTTCACTTTACTTAAACTAAACTATATTAAGTTAAGATCATTGCAGTTAAGTTAAACATCCTGTGATGCCTTTCAAAGCCTAGCTAAATTGACTTTATTTGTTTTAGATTCTAGGTATAGCTGTTACCTTCTACTGATGAGGCTAATCTCAATACCATTCCATTATCATTTGTGTCCTCCATGTGTGTTTTTAGAAATAAAGTGAGGAAACCAAACACTGGCCATAGTTTACTGCTTCCTCCCTGGACTACCTGGTGCATTTTATAAAGGTCATAAAATAACTTTATTTTAACTGGCAAGTTGGGAACTGTGTATGTTTTAAAGTGTTTGCTGTTAGAACATCAGAATATTTAACTGCTTGTAAATCACAAAACTTGACAACAGTCTCACAGTTTTAAAAGCATCTTTCTTTTGAATATAATAGATTTCTAAAAATGTTTGGTCATCAACTATGTAAAATTAAAAAGGAGTATTCTATTCACAGAGAGCTTAAAAAATCACAAGGTCTCTGACTAGGCTTCTGCTGTGATGCCCCAGGCCCACTGTCATCCAGAGGCTGGGGGAGTGGGAGCCCAACCAGATGGCTTACCTTTGAAGGAGTTGGGAACAAAATTTTCTTAAACCAAGAGCATTTGGTTCCTGGAACAGGGGTGAAAGAAAGTTGTATTTTTTCCCCTGCCACCTGGCATGGAACCCAGTAAAATGACCGGGTGTGACCCAGAGCCTTGGGCTTGCGAAGCCCAGCCCCACCTGGAACATAGGGCAGGAGAGCCGGTGCAAGGCTGTGTGGGGCCTGGCTGGGAACAGGCTTCTTCCCCTTTCTCCTCAGAGTCTCGGGGCTCTGTGTGGTCCTGCCCAGAAATGAGCCACCCAGAGTGCCTGCCCACCATTGCCCCAGCCACCTGGTGAAGGCAGCTGCTGTAAGAGCTCAAGATAGCCATTTGTCAGCAGTTTACACAAGACCAAATTTGGTATGGGAAAGGTACTTCAGAGAATCAGGGACTAGATGCTTCTGGACTGTTCCTCTCCTCGCAGAACAGGATGCACTGTGTGAGAGTGCATGATTTATGTGTCATAGAAAGGACCTGGGATGTGGAATAAGGTCCTACTCTGCCACTAAGAAGTCAGTTAAGGTTACAGTACTAACATTTTTGTATCTTGGTTTCTCATCTGAAGAATGAGGGGCTTGGACCAGGTCCATGGGTTTCAAACAAAGTGTGAGGTAAGGAGGAGCCAGGGGCCCAGGGCCCCTAGGCCCTTCACCTTCCTTTAATCCAAGAGCAGCTTTTTTGTGTCTCTTACATAGGTGTGCTGTGTAAGACTTCATTTAGAATAAAGGAATGTTTGGGCCGGCCCAGTGGCGCATTGCTACAGTGCGCGCTTAAAGCCAGCCGAGGGTTCGGATCCCACATACAGACCGGTTCCCGCTCACTGGCTGAGCGAGGTGTGGGCGCAGCGCTGAGGGTTGCGATCCCGGTCCAGTACGGGCGCGACACTGAGGGTTGTGATCCGTTGCTGGACACAAAAAAAGACAAAAAGGAAAAAACAAAAAAGAATAAAGGATCGTTCAATGTACAAAAGTCTGCAAATCGCTAGAATGTATGACCTCTTGCACCCCTGTGAAATGCTAAAGTGGTCTCCTGCTGCTTTGGCAAGTGTGCTGAGGTACCCACTCAGAGCATCTGTAGTCTTCCCAGCAGACTGTCAGTGGAAGGGTAGTGTGAAATACGGGGAGCACGCACGCCTGGGCACCAGGATCCTGGGTTCCCCTCCTGTCTCTGCTCCCTACTCACTTCCTGGTCAAATGATCTATTCTCTTCCAACTTCTTTTCTCCACCTGTAATATAAGGAGGCTACATTCTGAAGTTCCTGCCAGCATTTGTGTCCCATGAATCTGAATGTAGGTTTAAAGATGTTGCTATCTTTCTGCCATATCTGGTACAGGGTTGTGCACATACAGATCACCACTACTGTAGACTGACCCAGAGAGACAGTTCTGAGAGTGTTATGCAGCATGGCCAACTCTCTAACAGCTCGTAGCACAAGCCCTGCAAGCAGAGCCCAGTGCAGGCCCTGACACAGAGGGCGATGGCTGTTCTTGCTGTCCTGCTCCTGTCTGGCCTGTTTGGCCCTGAGCAGGCTGAACTGTTGCTGTGAGCCATCCAGGCCCAGTTCCCAAAAGATATCATGTGGAGATCAGAAAGGAAGGGAAACCTGGTCCCTGCATTTGTGGAACGGGCCTCTCAGATATTAAAATATCTGATACCACACATGCAAGTACAAAAGGTACACAAAGGAGCTATGTTCTGCAGAGACAGAGCACATGAGCAAACGTGACTGGGTGCATTATCCTGTAGGAGAGATGTCCTTCGATTTGGATGTGAAAGTGTGGAAGGGACAGAAGTCACGGCAGTGCGGGGGTGGTGTGGAAGAAGGGTGAGTGCTGCAACGGGACCTCCAGCCAGCAGGCCTGACTACGGCAGCGCACTCTCCACGGAAAGAAAAACGGGCCACCACTGCGCCAGCCTCTTGCTTCCCTTACTCTCTCTTCCCCAGATACCACTTGAAAGACGTCATTGTGGGGAAGATATACTTCCTGTTGGTAAGAATCAAGATCAAGCACATGGAGATCGATATCATCAAGCGGGAAACAACAGGCACAGGCCCCAACGTGTACCATGAGAACGACACAATAGCCAAGTACGAGATCATGGACGGGGCGCCAGTGCGAGGTGAGCCTCCTGGCCCAGGCCCTCAGCCCACTCCTCTCTCCTCTCAGGCCCTCCCCAGAATTTTGGAGGGCTCGAGGAGTTGCACTGCTAGAGTAAGATGCCCTGCTCACCTGTGATGTCCTAATCTCTGACTGTGCGCTGTGGGTGCTGACAGGGAGGAGAAGGAAGGTGTGGAGCTTCAGGCTCCAGCCCATCTTCACCCGGAAGAGTTCTACTTTGACATCGTTTCTATACTGGGCTTGTAATTAAGATTTAGTCTCAAGAGTTATGCTTGTTAAAAAACAAACAAACAAAATGTTTGAAAGCACTGGTTTAGCAGATGCAGCTTGAACATTCTACTCTTTTTTCCTACTGACATTCTGACATCCTTTGCTGCTTGGAAGCAAGAGATTCATGTGTAGTAGTAATTTCTGTTACTTAGTTCTAGCTCTGGTAAAATGATTTGTTCTCCGAATTCATCCACCGAGTGTGAGAGCCCTACTAAATACTCTGTCCACCACTGCCAGACAGCACTGGGAATAGATGGAAACGGTCCTCCCCCACCCCCAGCGCCACAGAGCTGCCAGAGCTGCCATTAGGTCTGGGATGAGCAGAGTTGAAAGCACTTTGTTATTTAAAAAGTCTAATCACTGGGGAGTAGCGACCATTTACATTCTTCATTGGCTCTGTAGTGACTGATGATGAAGGGTGTCTGTTCATTTGGAAGTGCTTGGTGCCTCCAAGGTTTTATTCAGTTTATTCCCATGTGGAAGGAGGAATGTTGCAGATTTAGTAGCCCTCAAGCCTGGGGATACAGCAACTTCTTGGGTGTCACCATGCCAGGCCCATGGGGGGGTTGGACTGAACTCTCCTTTTTGATGTCCCTTTTTTCACCAGCAGTGTAGGCAGAACCAGCTGTCACTTTTCCTGTGCAAATGAAATGGGGCACCAAGAAACAGAACAAAACTGAAGATAATTAGAAGATCAATTATATTTAGCTTTTAGATGACATTGTGGGTTTGGCCTTTCTCAGTAGAATTACTGCCCTAATTTTGTTCCACTTTTACTAGGAAAGGCACGATGTTAGAGCTGGGAAGGGCCAAAAATGTTACGAAGTCTGATTCTCTAATTTTCCACATGAGAAAATTAAAATCCAGAGAAAGCAACAGACTTACTCAGAAGTTATACAACTGGTTAATGGAGAACAGGGGCAGAGTAAGGATTTTGTTTTCCAGACTGCTACACCACCCTGCCAAGCCACATTAGAGTAGGGATGTATTTGGGGGGCCTACGCTAATTAGGGTGGAGGGAGGTGGCATCACAGTTGCTGGGTGACATGGTGATTTAGCTGAGGTGTGACAGCTGCCTCTTGAAAACCCAGTAAGTAGACACATGGCATGTGATCAAAAGATGCTTAACAGTAATGTCACAGTGTGGTCCACATGCAGCTGCCCTCACTGCTCTGGGTGTCACAGAGGTGAGAGGGCATTCAGAAACTGCAGCGAGAGCTGGAATGGAATTTGAGAGTTACATTTCTGCTTCAGCAAATGCTGGCAGCAGAGCGCAGCTTCCCAAATGATAGAAGCATATACCTCAGCGTTCTGTGCCATGCACACGTGCCCTCTCACCTATGTGGTCAGAGAATGACTACTGTAAAGCACAGTGGGTCACTTTGCCCCATTCTGTCATTCCTGCCTTGCCCCTCACAGGAGAGTCCATCCCGATCCGGCTCTTCCTGGCGGGGTACGAGCTCACACCCACTATGCGGGACATCAACAAGAAGTTCTCAGTGCGCTATTACCTCAACCTGGTGCTGATCGATGAGGAGGAGCGGCGCTACTTCAAGCAGCAGGTGAGGCACAGCCTCCTCCAGGCCCATGGCTGCCCCAGAGACAGAACAGCAAGGTCCTCCTTCCTGCAGGAGGGCCTGATACTAGGGAGGGAGCTTCTAAGTCCCTATGCCAAGAGGTGGAGATATTGGTTACCTAGAGTCCCACGGAGAGAACAAGAGCTCCCACTTGGTACCTAGCATCAGCCTTCTCAGGCCTAACTTCTCCAGCCCCGGGGGCAGAGAGGGATTGGCATCTGCTGCTGTGGGTGAGAGATAAGCAGAGGACGTTCTTGCCCAAGATTCCCTGGGACAAAAATTGGGAGCCTGCTCTCAGGCATCATGTTACCCCTCTCCCAATTCTGCAGGAGGTGGTGTTATGGCGGAAGGGTGACATCGTACGGAAGAGCATGTCCCACCAGGCAGCCATCGCCTCACAGCGCTTCGAGGGCACAACCTCCCTGGGTGAGGTGCGGACCCCTAGCCAACTGTCTGACAGCAACAGCAGGCAGTAGGCCCCTGCGGCCAAGAAGCTGCCGGGCTTCTGCCCAGCACCCCACCTACAAGACACCAGTGGCTGGGGAGGTGGGACGCTGTGAGGCTCAGCTGGCCCATTACTTGCAACCTAAAAACAAATCACGTTTTTGACTTAAATTCTTTTCTCTGAAGAACGTGAGGGGCATGGGTTGGGAGGCAGTCTCCCTGGGATTCTGCAGCTGATGTAAAGATAGGGAGAGGCAGCGTCCTGGAAGCCTCTGTCTCTGGGGAAGAGGAGCCTTCTGTTGAGGCCTTCCTCGGGGTCTGCCTTGTGTCGTGGGAAAGCAGATAGCATGCATCCTGGGCTCCTGCTCTCTGAGCTTCCCCATACAGGATCTGAGCATGTCCCTGGGATTCTGAGCTGCCAACACAGCCCTGGGTAGTCACGTCTCATACTCCCCTCTACTGTCCCCAAGGTAGCGGCAGGAGTTGGGCCTGCCCCATCCTAAATGGCAGGGAGAGACTCAAGAGCAGGAAGTGACCTGTTTGAGAGTCTTTGATGTGGTGCTTTGAAGTTTCCACAAGCCTCCTTCTTTCTGGCCTCTCCCTGCTGGGACCCAGGTACCTCCCTTCTCCATCTTCTTTGCGTCATCAGTAACATTCTGGAACAGAAGCCTGTGGAAGGGCCTCGGGTGGACTGTCCCCTCCTCCGTGAGAAATATCAGGGCCCTGAGAAGCCCGGGCTCAGTGTCTTGCAATGGACGGTAGCAGTGTTGCTCCCAGGAGGCTGAGCCAGGCCCACCAAGGAGGAAGGGACAATGCGCAGCACCTGTCTGCCCTCACCACGTGGCTTCACTCGGCAGCGCGAGGTCCAGGTTGTTCTAGGGTGTTGCTCTGTGTGCCCCAACAAGCCCTAAGCACGAGGGTCTGTCTCCTTTTAAGAAGGGTCCTGAGAAAGGGCCTTGATCCCTTTGCTTCCCTGAAAGTGGAACCTCACCACAACTTGTCCTCTATTTAATTTCTGGGAATTGGGGCTTGGTTTCACACACTTGGAAATGCCCCCAGCCCTTCACCCCTCTACCTGCAAGGTAACCGAGGGAGATGAGGGCCTCAGCAGAAGACTCTGCCACCACAACTTCAGAATAATTCTGCTTGCCAAATTACATCTGCATCGTCACCAGCTGACTGATCCAGATTTAGGACTATTGGTATTTTTTGTTTAAAAACAAATATACAAAACCACATGCATATTCTTGTTATGCTAGAGAAGAGGGCAGTTCCCCCTCTGTTGCTGTGTGCTTGGCCTATAGTAGTAAAGGTGTTTACTGTCCTTTTCCACCTCATCTGGAAATGACCAGGAGTTCCTTTCCTATTAGCCTCTTTTCCCTTTATTAGAAGGCCAAACAGACCCCACTCCCATCATCTTTCCGTTAGTGAGGAAAATGGGGACTCCTTTTTTCCTCAGAAATCAGTGCAATCTTGGGCCTTTAATTGGGCAGCGTTCACTGATTGGAGTTGAGACTGGAGGGAAAGGCATTTGGGGTGACACGAGAGGCTGACTTGGGGCAGCAGAACCAAGGAAGGTAAGGTGGTTTCCCGCATGCCAGGCCCGAGTCCAGGTGCGACATACAATCCCCTGGGAACAGGATCCCCCGTCCAGCTGCCCTTGGATTATCAAGATTGGGGCTTAAGTGTATAAGGAGGCAGGTTCTGTGCTCCTTACCCTTTTTTAGAGCATGAGATTAGCCTCCTGTGTGCCTCTTTTTAATAGGTGGTGTCCTAACTAGAAAGCATTTGTCAACTCCTCTGCCTCCCAATTGACAACACAAATTCATTTTCCAACTTTCTTCCTAACATCTTAAACTTTTCTTCCGGGAGAATTAGTAGATAGAGTTTGCTTTGATTCTCTCAGGAGCTGTGCACAAGCCAGGTGTTCTGTTTTCTTATTCTGCCCCCATTCTCTACTTCTCTGTCCAACTGTGAAAGTGAGGGGAGGTTCCTGTCCCCCTCCTATAAGGTCCTCGTACCTGGGAGTGCATAGGTACTAAACCAAGCAGTGCAAATTGTAATTAAGCAGCTGCAGTGTTTACATGTTTCTTAATGTGTTGTCTTTTCAATGGCTGTATTTTAAAAGAACACTTGTTTTAATGATTAAAGGAAGCCCCTGTGGCTTTGGAGGCATTGTGCCCATGGTCCACCAGCCTCTGTGGTCTATTCCATTTTACAGTGTCCCACGTTTGACACCCAGGGAAAGACAGATGCCTGCCCTGCCTCCCACACAGTGCCTGCTTTCTCGGTACATGGACCCTGGTGAACAATGATGAGCACTTTATTAACCACAATTTTTAGACAAGTGCATAGTTGAGAAGTGAATTCAGGTTTTACCCCTATTTGGCAACCTGTCCTGAAACCAATCATGGTTTAAACCTGTGGGATCCAGGTGATTTCAGGGGCAGGTGAGGAAGGCTGGTGTAGAAAGACAAAAGTTCGTTTGGGTGAGTGTTACCAGAGTCTCAGCCCTCCATCCTCCTATTTGCTACATAACTACTAGCGATGGTAAAGGAAGGTGAGAGAGGTAGCACTACATCTGGCAGAATGGAGAAAGGAGCCAGCCTGGAGGTGAGAGATCTGCAGTAGAGTATTCCACTGCACCCAATGCAGTTTGAGAAGAAAAGCCTTCCAACTTTGGTATTAATGTTTTATTGAAAAACGTACACAAGAACACAAGCAAGCCTTCTTGCACCTTCTTATGTCTTAAAAAAGCTTGACTTCTTTGGAGTAATGTCATGCCCATTCCAGGAAACAGTATTTCAGTTAACTTGGTTCCTTTTCCTCCAGGCTCAAAATAAAATCAAACTCTTCTACCAAAAAATGGGGGGAAAGGAAGCAAAGAGTTAGTTCTTATGTCTCCTCTCGAACAGGAAAGTTATGCTCGGCACTGCTAGGTACTTTACATATTACTGAGGCAGGCAGACATGTGGTGTCTCAGCAAGTGCCAAGCACTGTTGGGTACTGAGTGCACATAATGGGTAACTCAGGACATACTCGCTTCCTTGTGGATGTGACAGGTAAGGACACTGACCCAGAGGTTAAAATACTGTGCCCAAGCTTGATAAGCTGATACATGGGAATTCATGGGGTCATTCTGGTGTGTGGATAAGGACAAGGGCCTTGCTCTTACCTTGGGTCAGGGGCTGAATTGAGAGTCTCTGGCGAGTGAAGAGAACCATATTTTTTAAGGGGCCACCAGTGCCTTTGTGAGCTTGGTGATAGGTTTTGAGCTCAGCCAGTGGGATGAAACGCTTCATCATCCGAACAAACTGTACATCCACCTACATGACAACAGTGCATGGGACAGAAAGACACATCCAACCAGACTCTGCCCACTGTTTTTCAACCACTTGCAGGAGGTTCCCGTGGGCAGGGCTGCCAGTGTTGTTCTTATCTCCAAAGTCAGCATAACCTCATCTGAAGAGGAGCTGGGCTGTGTACCTGAAGGTACAGCACCCAGACCCTCTACCCTCTTTGTCCGTCCTTCCCCTCTCATGAAATAGGAAGAATAGTCTTTACCATGGACCATTTGGGGTTGTCCTTTTTGCTGGATGGGTCATAATAGGGACTGTTTTTCTCAAACTGTGTGTGGTCTGGGTAAGCCTCCTTCACAATCTAAAACCAAAAACCAAAGTCTCCAATCACTTGCCTGGACAGTCAGCTCCATGGACAATCTTTTAACCTATGTCTTTCATTTCTCACCTGGCATATTCTTACCCTACCTGCCTTGTAGAGCCAAAGATGGCTCAGGTATCTGAAAATAATGCATAGTTCTAAGGCAGGCATAGTTAGGAAATCAACCCGTTTTTAACAAAATCTTAGAAACATGTTCTAAAAACAAATGGTAAAGGTTAATATTGGTACCACTGGTTTTTCCACCTGAACAGTTAAAAATTTTATCCTGATAACTCTTAGCTAAGAGGAGCTACCATCGGGCCTGTTTTTGACGGAAAGACCAAGGTTTAGAGGTGGAGAGAAGTCTGTGCGAGTGAAACCTGAAATAAAGGTCCACTTTGTTCTATTCCTTGCATAGGAAGGGGCCAGGCAGATTTTCCTTATTCCCATGACAGGGTGTGGGGAGGAGGGTACTATTTAAGCTGTATCCCTTTATATCTACATGAGTAAGTCTCCCTGGAGGGAGAGGGATTTAGACCAAAACCTGTCCAACTAACCTTCATAAGTCCTGCAATGCCTGGTTCTTTGCAGTTGCTGTGGTAGAAGAACGCTTCTTCCTCCAGCTTCATGGCTCTAAGGTAGTTCCGAGCCTATCCCAGAGGAGAAAAAACAAGAATTATCCTCCCTACCAGGTGGAAAGCACTAGCTTTTTAGCAGAAATCAAGTCTGCTTTAATTAGATGGGTTTTTCTTTTTTGAAACTTTCCCCCAATTCATAAGAAAGTCTATCCCTTTGCCAACACACCCAGACTTACACCAGGACACTCGCTAAAACACAGACCATTTGCAAATTTCATATAGAATAAGGTATTTTAAAAATACATTTTCAGGTTTAGGTTCTGGGAAAAAGCAACCTTGGCCAGCAGGTTCTGTTAACAAGTCATGAGGAGGAAACAGGTATTTATCCCACCATGGATCTCGGGGGTTCTGCTCCTTAACTCTCTTACCTGGTAGTTTCGAACACCATCCCAGCATGCTGTCTGCTTGGGCTGTGCTTTGAGATCCTCAATGCCGAACTAGGCAAGAGGAAAGAGTTACTCATCAAACGATCCTTGGACAACTGGTAAGCATATATGGAAGCAGACAGTTCCATTCCCTTCCTTTCGTTGAGAGTTGCCACTGGCTATATAGTGGCCACTTTACCAGGATGTAGCTCTACAGAGCCACTTATGTCAGATGAATATAAGGTGAATATAAGTAAGCTTTGTGGTAAGTTTATTTCGTTTTTTTTTTTGTTTGTTTGTTTTTTGCAGCTGGCTGGTACAGGGAACCAAACCCTTCACGTTAGTGTTAACAAGACCACACTCTAACCAGCTGAGCTAACCGGCCAGCCCTTGTGTTACCCTTGCTAATTAGAAGGATTCATTGAATGGATAGTCCAGATGATAGAGTCATCTGCTGATTCCTTGCATTTCGCTGATTATTAAAGTATTATCTATTCCATAATATTTGTATTTATATTTTCCCCAGGCCATTATTTAATTCGTTTACATTCATTCCCTGAATATACATACACCAACTGTTGGCAGGGAGACACTGAGGAGCACAGCAGGATTGAGGTTGGCAAATTACAGATTTCAAGGCCAGATCTAGGCCCATGCCTGATTTTGTAAAATTTTACCTGAACCTAACCACACCTGTTTGTTTACATACTGTCTATGGCCATTTTCTTCGTTTACATTCATTCCCTGAATATACATACACCAACTGTTGGCAGGGAGACACTGAGGAGCACAGCAGGACTGAGGTTGGCAAATTACAGATTTCAAGGCCAGATCTAGGCCCATGCCTGATTTTATAAAATTTTACCTGAACCTAACCACACCTGTTTGTTTACATACTGTCTATGGCCATTTTCTTGCTACAAAGGCAGGGTTGCAACAGAGACTGTAAGACCCACAAGACTATGTTATTTACTGTCTGGCCCTTTGTAGAAAATGTTTGCCAACTTCTGCCCTATAGAGAGGGTACTCACAGAACAGATGGTTGATGGTAATAAATCCTACTGGTTTTATTTGTTTTTACCTTTTGCCCACCCTTCAAAGTTAATTTGGTGATGGTGTCCCACATTCCCTTCTCATTTTAAAAAATAGCTCAAAAGGACTGGAGACAGGTACATGGTCTCACCTTCACATCTACCCCTTTCTCTAGTCGGCTCTCCGGCTCTGACTTCATCAGCCAATGGCTGCTTAGATTCTTCCCACAGTTTTTAGAGTCTGAAATCTTCTGAGGACTGGAGTTCTCCACCTTAGCTGATGCCTCACCTGAATTCTCAGTTTTGGTACGTTTTCCTGATAGCCCCTTCTTGTCTGCATAGGAAAAGCAAGAAGAAAAGGTCGATCATGCTTGCTGCAAGGTAATGTTCCATTCTGGAAAAAGTTTACACTTTGGAGTCAGACCTGCATTCAAATTTTGGTTCTGTCAATTACTAGCTGTAGCATCTTAATTGGGCAAGAATGCCTTCCTTACAGAAAATCATCTGCATTATCTATTCAGTGGACTGAAAGCACCTTACGGGGTTGTTTAGGACTAAGGTCCTGGCAGTAGTCAGTAAATGTCTTCCTTCCCTCACTCTCTTCTGTCTCAGTCTACTGATTCCAGTGAAGAAACTGACTACCTACTAAGAGTTGCTTTGAAGATTAAATGAGATAATACAAAGGGCTTAGACAAAGTCTGGTATCATAAGTGCTCGATAAATATCAGCTATTATTATCACCTCATACTTCTTTTCTTGCTCACTATGCTTCATGGCCTGCCTCCTTTCTGCTCCTTGAAGGTACCAAGAGAAGTTGGAAGAAACAGTTCATTCAGGACCTTGTAGAGATGGTAAAGGCTGGATTTTATCCCAAGAGAATTAGAGAAAATGTTCCTGGAACATAGGCACTCAACAGCTAGCAGTTGTTAAGTTCTTACTGTATGTCTGGCCCCAAGCTCTGTGTATGACACTCACTGGTTAATGTAGATAACCTATGAGATCTGAAAATGTGCTCCAGATCACACATCCAGTAATGGTAGAATCAAGACAGGAGGTCAGGACCTGTCATTCAGTTCTCTCTGAATCTATACTTAGCGACTGTACTATACAGCCTCTGAATTTAGTCTAAGTTCCTACGTGAGTCATTAAATATCACTGTGGATGTCTAATGCTCTGAATTCAGCATACCTTCTTCCTAGCCTAATTTCCTAGTGGTCCCTTAAGAGTTAACAGGCACACTGCAGACACCATGTGCAGTAAATGGCTACAGTGCACTGTAGTCCATCTAGAACTCTTGCCTTTCCTAAAAGAGGCACTTATCTACCCTCCATTGCTTTGTTCCTGTGCTGCATCAGCTCAGAATGCCATTCATCCTTATGAAAAATAGCATCACGTTTTCTGAGTACTGAAAACTGTGCTGTGGAAAGGCTGGACTCACATTCCACTTCCTTCTCAAGACCTTCCCCCTGATTCCTCCTCCTCATACCCCTAACAATCCAGTCTCCTGAAGCCTGTCACTCACATTCGTTTGCATTCTCCCCGAGAGCAGCAACTGTGTATTCTTCACCTCAGTACACGCCACCCTGTACTGCAGACGTTCTGTTGCTTAGCACGTAGCTACTGCCTGAATGGACAAGTAGGAGGGACTCTGGGTAGAATCTCGGTGGGAAGAATCAAGAAGATGGAGGGCGACTAGAGATAACGGAATAAAAACCAAACCACGAAAGATTCTCCCCAGGAGCAGGAGTAGAAAATGAACAGTGTTAAAAAGGCCCCAGGGGACCGTTCTCTATGGGGCTGCCTCTTTGCAGCCTAGGTGCAGCTCACCTGGGCCAGCCGCCGCAGCCGACCTCTTCCGGGGTCTCGGCATGGTCTCCCTGCAGGTGACCGCAGGGCGGCGGATCCTGGAGTCGGCCGAGAGCGACAGGAAGCGATCTGCTGCCCGCCCCGACCCCGGGGCCCCGCCCCAACCTCGTGCCGAGCAGGAAGCGAGCGGTGAGAGGCAGCCCGGAGGGCCTCAGAGCCCGCCTAGCGCGCGACGTCGGTGCGGGAGCCGCGCCGGCCCTCAGTCTCCTCCGCCACCTCCCCCTCGCGGAAGCCGCCCGCCGCTCCCCGCCCCTCCCCGCGGTCCCCG